TAGTTCGCTGATTTCTTGCGTTCCGCTTTCGGAAATTTGAAATAATTTTGGCCGATTTTTGGACGAAGGCTAGGAGAACTCGATCTTTCTAAGGATAAGTTGCGGCTTAGCGGCCGCATTCTCGCGGACTTTCCGCCTTTAACGCAGTTTCGAGCGTGCGCCGAGCTCTCTAGACGTCATTGATGGTTTAATTACCCATAAGCGGAAGGTCCCTTTGGGCTGTGCGTCCTTCACAAAGGACCATCCCTGAACAATTTTGCATTTTTTCAAGGAAAGCTTTGGTAAAAATTTGTAGAGATTTCTTGACTTCTACTTTACTTGGGCACTTACAATAAAAGCATGTTCAATTGAAGAGGCCTCAAAGGCAGTGTCTCGGCAGATTTGCGCCCCAAGGGATATTGCTTTGATGGGGTTCCTGGTCATTCCACAGACCTCCAGGCGAGTCCGGATGGTTGATGCTCCTTTTAAGTTGAGAAAATAGCCCTTAACCGGCGCGCGCAACCCCAGTCGGCGCGATGACTTCGCTTACTGTTCGGCTCGGGATCCTACGCCGCTCTCGCACATTGTGCATCCTGTGAAAAGCAAAATTACAGGCAGCAGGGTTGTTTTAGAGTACTCGTGCCAGGGCCTCCCAACTTTCCATAATAATTCTCGTCCGAACTGCTTTTTGGAAATTGGGTAAACGCCCCGTAAATGTTCTTTTCCCTGTATCAAAGCTCAAATTCAAGGTCTAGGGGTCGAAAAGGCCTAAAACATTTTATTTATTTATTTATTTATTTGATACGCACAAGGCGTGCCCAATACACAGAACGAAGCATCACACTAAACAAATAGGGACAAAAAAAAGAACAAAAACAGGCAAACACCACACTGAATCAGCTCAAGTCCAGCCGCAAAATATTTTCTAGGGATAGAAAGGGAGTGAGCTTGTCTAGACTAATATGAAGTCATCACATGTATAGAGGTTCGATGGAGTCTGTCTCATGTCCCCTGCTTTTAGCAAAAATGCTCTTATTCAAACATAAGCAAATGTATATGTTGGAAGCAGGTGTATTGGTAGTAATATTGGTAAAACCCTCCCAACCAAACTCTGGGGAGAGAGCAGAACTCCTGAAGAGGTTGCACAATGCAGAAGTTTCAAGCCCAAACAAGCTAACCCAAGCATCAATGGAAATGATGAGATGAGCCAGACCCAAACTAACGGGTGAGGTATAAAGTTGAAAAAAAAAGCCAACACAACGAATGGCAATGGTGTAAACCAAGGTCTCAATGATTTGGTGGAATCTGATCCCTAAAATCCAACGCAAGACATTCATTTATTCCCATCCCTTCGATCATAGTCAGCCCAGAGTGAACACCAAACTGAGACAGGCGGAGTCGCGTGCCAGAACCGTCAAACGAAAAGGACAGAGACATGCACAGCACAAAAGCAAGGATCTAGAAAAAGGAATTTGAGAGATGAAAAATAAAGTAGAAGCAAAAACTGCAATTAAAATCAAGCCTCAGAACCAAGCGTAGGAGAACCATAACAACCATAAACCCTAAAATCCTGAACCCTAAAAAAATCTGAACACAACATTGAAAACGCAACGCAATCAAAGAGAAGTATCACTGCTCAAAAGTTGGGTCAAATCAGCTTTTTTTAATTTTTTCTTGAAGGCTTCACCGCTACGCGCCGACACAATATCAACGGGTAAGCGCTGAAGCCATCTTGCGCAGCGGAAGAACATGTAGTTAAATATTCCAGACTGATGTAGCTTAATAGGTTTATAATCCAGATTAAAGCCACCTAGCCTGGTACCAACTGGTTTGAAGATCCAGAATTTACTTGCTTTTAATTTTATTTCCATGCGAAGAATACGAAAACAAAAGACCAGGTCAGATATCATGCGTCTAATTCTGAGAGAAGTCAAGCCCAATTTATTAGAGCGTGGGTGACAGTCTGGCATATCAACTGGTATTCCACCACACGCACGACGGAAAACCAGACGGGTAAAAGTGTGCTGAACTCTCTCAATTTTCATTATATCTTTTTTTCGGGAAAGAGTCCAAACTTGTGAACAATATTCGAGATGTGGAATAACATAAGCTTTGTATAATCGGGACAGTATCATTGGATTACGAGTTTGTATATTACGAAAGATTGTAAATAGAGTGGCATATGCTTTGTTGACAACTGAATCAATATGCTTAGAGAATTTCAAATTACAGTCGATGATAACTCCCAGATCTTTCACATCGACAAGCAGCCATCTCGACTCCATCAATTTTATACGAAGTTGAGGAATGCTTACCAAGATGGAGGAAGGAACACTTTCTTGGGTTGAGAGAGAGTCCATTCCGAGAAGCTCAACCACACATTTTATCAATTGACGACTGCAATGCATCATGAACTGTGTCAAAATTATCTTCATCATAAGATGCATATATCTTTGCATCGTCTGCGTAGATTTGTACGCGTACATCCATTGTTTTTAAAGTATTAGGTAGGTCCAGATGTATACCAAAAATAACAAAGGAGATAGGACAGCTCCCTGAGGAACTCCACTGGGACAGGGAAATTTTGTTGAATATTTATGACCAATCTTTACCGTCATGCATCTATTGCTCAAGTAAGATTCGAACCAAGTTAATAGGTTTCCCGAAATTCAGATATTCTCTAGCCTGCAAAGAAGCAAACGATGAGGTATTCTATCAAAAGCCTTGGAAAGGTCGAAGTATACAATATTTACAGATTTTCTCAAACTCAAGGCTACCTTCCAATCAAAAACAACTTCAGTAAGATTAGTTGCAGTTGACTTGCCTGACACAAAGCCATGGTGCTCGGGCGAAACAAGATGGAACTTCTCCAACCAAAGTAGTAATTTACTTCTGATGATTCTCTCCATAATCTTGATGGGAACAGAGTCATGACTAATGGGGCGAAAATCGGCAACGCTTTCAGCTGCGGAAGTTTTAGGCACAACTGCAACAATGGCTTCCTTCCAAAGAGAAGGAATCTCACCCAAGTATAAGGAAAGATTGAATATATCAGCAAGCGGTTTGGCGAGAGTATCTGCACACATTTTGTAGAGTATCTGAGGGATGCCATCGTACGGCTCCATACACGAAGGTTTTAGAGACCTCAGGACTCTTCTAACTTTCGCAGGGTGAAAATAAACAGAATTCAATTTGTTTTGAGGAGGATGGGAGGGGGGGGGACGGTGATACTCAAAGGATTCGCAAACACAGTGGCAAAGTATTCACCCAAGGCCTCTGCTTTACTAGAATCATTACAGCAAGTACAACCCAAAGAGTCTTTCAACACCGGGAGGCTAACTTTACTTTGTAACTTGTAGTGAATGTATCTAAACAAATTTCTCATAGAAGATTTCTTCGATAAGCGTCGCTCATGATTTGCTAAAATTTTGAGGTGCAGGTCAATATCAGCACAGACTTTCTTATACAGGGGGCTAAACAGAGGTGAATCTAGAACACAAAATAAGCGACACTTCTGTTCAATAAGGGAACGAATTGAGCAGGATAAATCAAGCCAGAGGTGCAATTAATCTTCATAGTACCAAACAATGCCATTCCAGTATAGATGACTTGGCAGAATCTGAGATACAAGTCATCAACATTGCGGTAATTATCAAACAGTGCATCCCAGTCAACTTCAGATATATACTTGTTGAGGGAATCGTAGTCAAAGTGCACAAAGTCGGGTGTAGGATAAAATGGGACAAGTTGAAAGTTGTCGTTATACTCAAATGTAACGATGCTATGATCTGCAGAAGCCAAAGGTGGATAGAGTCTGACATTGTGAACGTTTTCCGAAGTGGACAATATAATGTCCAGAATATTATCAGCGTGGGTTGGATATAGGACATGCTGTTTCAATTCAGCGTTGATGAAGAAGTCAAGGAATGGTTTAGATTCGGGGCTGATGTGCTTCATATTGAACCAATCAATATGCAGATTGAAATCACCCACAATAAGTGTACTATTTCCATCAGAAGTTAAATTGGTGAGAAGCTCAATCAGCTGTTTATCATCACCCTGCGTGGAGTAGGTGGACGATACACGATTACGAACTTGACAGTATTCAAACTCGATGAACAAAAAAGTTCTACAATCAATAAATCAGAACTCGAAACAGTGAATCTAGTCACTTGTTTGATGTAGAAGCAACCTTTAACAAGGCAGCTTACACCACCACCTTTTCGCTTCGGTCTGTCAGTACGAAATATCGAATATGGCAGATCATCAATCAGCTCAGAGTCGTGTATCTTTGGCTTAAGCCAGGCTTCAGTCAGAAACACGAGATCAGGTCTAGAATTTATCAGAAACGAATGCAAATGGTGCAATTTATTCACAATACTACGTGCATTCGGTAAAACACATTTCAGTATTCCAGGGTTCCCGTGCGTAATCATTAGTTTACCGAACTCCTACTTGGGAGCTCCGAGATACGCTTGAGTTGGCCGCGATAAACGACCCACTCCTTCTCGGGTTTCCCAGCATTGAGTTCCTTGGCCTGCTGCCTAAGTTCGTATTCGACCCTCCGTTCCTCGCTAGTCATACTTTTACGGATGAAAATATTGGAGAAGGGTGAGTTCCGAAGCCGATAAGAATTTGCTAGCGCTTTTTGCCAATAGTAAGTTGACGGAAAAATGACCTTAACTAGCCGAGGACGGTCGGGCGATGCCTTCCCAATGCGAAGGATTTCGCTTGGGCAGCAATCAATATCAAGAACGTCCATGATATCGTCCACCCTACTCCTAAGGTCCCTAGCCCGCTCCGATGCGCGGAGATCATTCGATGACTCTTGTACCCCACTTATGACAATTATGCGCGATCGTTTCTCAGCCTCAAGTTCACCAGAGACCGCATTCTGGAGTCCCTGCGAAAGGATGTCTAGCAATTGATCGATCACTGGATCCTTGTTCCTATCCTTGATATGCAGCAAAAGGTCTGAGGCTGACATATTAGAATAATCAGCACTGTTGACCTCACTTTGCATGCCAACAATAGGAGCAGGAGTCGATGCAGAGCTAGAAACACCCCTACAAGATGAACGAGAGGCTTTGGGATGCATGATTACGATCTATAGAAAGCAATATAGTCAAAGGCCAAGAAAATCAATACGAAAAGGCGCACGCGATAGCGATTTCAACCCAGTAGAAGGTAACCGGATGAGGACAAAACAAAATCGAACCAAAAATAAGCAGCTGAAAGAGTTGCTACCAAGCAGAATCAAAAATAGAGAGCTTAAAGTGCAAAATGGAAAGAAAAAAGGTTGTAAACGAATGGAACAGCCAGAGCGGGCAAAAAGGCAGCCGCTCACTGGTACGGCAGAAGAAAGAATTGACATGCGAATAAGATGGAAATGAAAATCTGCCGGTACACTGCCTTCAAGATGTATACGATTATTCATTTATTTATTTAATTATTTATCTATTTAAAAACACCAAAGGTGTGCCACAAAAGAATGCAAGTAATCAATAGCAAGAAATTTTACACGAATGTTACCAAGTGCTCATGATAGACAGGTGAGGCAGGCGAAATGCTCCGCCCGAAGTGCAGGTCTTTCTCTTTTTTCTATGGAGAGTATTCCTCTGCCAAAATCCTGTTCCATTGACCGGATTCGATGGATGGCAGCACTTACCGGGCTGACTGACCAATTAACTCTTTGCGGACGAATCCGACGGGGACCTTGGGCGAGCGAGAGGGGGGATCTCGAGGAAGAAGGGCACGCCAACTTCAATTTCAACAAACGGCTGAGCGAAGAGACTGCAAATCTGGATATCTCATTGTTAGTAGAACGATAAAAATGGCTTTGTCAATACTGTAGTTATGCCTGATAAAGAGTCAAAGAGAAAGAGAATATATTGTTTGTTTTTCTACCTTTTAGCATGTGCAAAAAATCCCCAAAAAAGATGTGCAGTATAAACAGAGCAGCAGGCTAAACATCAGCGATTCTCAAAGTTTGCAGGACGTCTACGGAAACTAATTTATTTCTAAATTCTGCAGAATCTTGGACGAGATAATTTCGCTTGGTAAAAGATCGAGCCATCTGGCGGAACGGCACGCGAAAGAATCAAAAGCTATTGACAACTTTTTACGTCCCAACTTCCTGTAAAACAAACCGAAGCCGCCAGTTCATCCTCAAGGTCTGGAAATCCAGTAACGACTAGGACTTAGTCTTGTTTCAAGTTCAAGAATACGAAAACATAGGACTGAGTCGTTACATATGCGTCTATATTTCAGGCTATGCACTTCAAGCGTAGCCAGTTTAGTATTGTACGAAAACGAAATTCCAAGTAAGGAGTTGTGAGTTTTTACTTTGCCAAAAATTCAAATGTGCGTTCAGAATAAAACAAGTTACGAAATCTTACTAGACCTCAAATGAAGCAACCAAGTAAGATATTTTTTTTATCTTAGAGTAACTACTGAATAAAGTTCCTGCCGCTCGCCCATTTCTGCCGCTCTTCTGAAAGGAGTTATGAAAGCCTAAAAATCCCGTTTTTGGGCATCTCTTGAGTACAAGGACGCTGCTATGTAGGTTATTGCTGTGGTAGTGGATAGAGTGCTGGCTTCAAAGAAGAGAGGTCGCTAGTTCGAATCCGGTTGAGAGACTCTTTTACATGCAGCTGTGCCAAAAAATCCTTTTGAATTAAATATGCCAAGAACGTTGCGTCATGTGCGTGCTTTAACACGTTGACGACGAGCCATTTTTTGAAGGTCTGTCCCTGTGACGAACCGTTTCCCGGCACTTTCAGAGCTGGGCATGTATGTATGCATGCATCTATGCGTGAGAACAAAAATGCAGGTGGGCGGGGCGGCTCCGCCACTTTTGCAAGCTCCGCCCATTTGGCGAAAATAGCTGAATTTGCACGAATTCGTGAATTTTGTGCAAATTCCGGCATTTTTGAAAAGTGGGCGGGGCTTGGTCAGAAGTGGGCGGGGCCGCGGTTGAAGCTGATGAAGCTTCACGAGCCAACCTGGGTCTAGAGTACAGAAGTCCAGGTAATCCTTGAGGTAATCCGAAAGTAGGTTCTCCAAGTTATCATCTATATATATATATATATATATAACTCAAAATTGCGAGTTTGGAGGCTATGTGCGCTATAGAAACGCGCACTGCTCAACCGATTCCGCTGAAACTTTGCACTCACACGTTTCGTCCCCTGCGCAGATGATAGGCTACTTTTTGAGGCGATTTGTTGGGTCCTTCTATAAATTTATTGATTTGTTTACGCTTTTCTAAGGAACTGAAGGTTTATCATGTTGAATCAAGCATTTTCCCATAATCGTGAAAGGAGGGCGGTGAAGCTCATTTTCACCACATGATCACGAGGATGCGGTTTGAAGCTGATGTCCCAGGGTAAGTCATCCATAATATATAGGGGGGGGGGAGGGGCTTGCAGTGCAGGTGAACGGAACAAGGCCCGGGCTGGACCGAGGAAGCCAACTAGTTATCTCTATGAGTCAGACAGTATCATTATCATTGTGAGTAAACTTGTGACAACGAGCGTAGCTTATAACGATATCGATGAACTCAACGAAAGCTTCGATGACTTGCTCCTCGATAGCGACGCCGAAACTCCCGATGGTGCGGACGGCGATAACATGTCTCCTGCTGTTGTTCCGGACACTGATGAATCCGATTCCGACATCTCCGAAGATGACAATGACGAAGACGCAGAAAACACTTGGATCGACGGAGCTGAAAAGCATGACAGATGGAGGTTTACCGAGCATGTTGGGGCTGATCCAGAGGTGGATATCTGTGAGATGCCGCTCCAGTTTTACGAGTTATTTTTCTCTGAAGAACTCCTCGCCATGGTAGCTGAACAGACGAAAGTATACGGACAAGAAAAGCATCATAAATGGAATCACACCGATTCAGATGAACTGGTCGACTGCTAGATACCTAGCTACGAGGACGAAAACATAATGCAGTGCTTGTATTGATTGATTGATTGATTGATTTGATTTGATTCAATTTGATTTGATTGATTCCATTTGATTCAACTGGCTTGGCATCGGCAAAGGCGGGGCTTCGTGACCTAATTAAGGCTAGGTCATGATAGAGAGCACTCGCGCGAGAGAGACGTAGGTGCGTCGCGGGCGCGACCGGCCTCGATTAGATCACAAAACCCTGCCCTAATGGTGCCAAGCCAGTTGAATCGAATGTTAACAAATTTTGCTGCTTAGAGTGTTTCCAAAGTGTGCATCATTGTTGATTGTCGAAAAAGAGCAATAAATGCCGAATATGAGCCTTGGAAATCGATGAGTAGTTGGTCAATACCGATATTTGGTGCTTTAGAGTCTGATTTGATAATCTAAAAAAAATAAAGCAATTGGACATGTTACAATTGATATTTGGAGTGTCGCGCACCATTGCGCGACATCGTCCACAGGAAGAGACTGCCTGTCGCGCACCATTGCGCGACACCGTCGTAAACGTGTTAAAGGCAGTGTCCCGGAAGATTTTGCATTTCCATCTTTTTGACGTTTTGGGCCTTTTCGACCCGTAGACCTCGAATCTGAGCTTTGAAATGGGTAAAAAGACCTTTTTCGGGGCGTTTATCCAATTTTCAAAAGGCGGCTCGGACGAGAATTTCTATGGAAAGTGGAGGCCTCAGCACGAAGACCCTGCTGCCTGTAATTTTTGCATAGCATGCACAATGCGGGAGAACGGTCGTAGGGTCCCGCGCCTAACAGTAAGCGAAGTCGTCCGAGCATGCGCCGATTGGGGTTGCGCGCGCCGTTCAAGGACTATTTTCTCGGTCCAGAAGGAACATCGCCCAGCCGAACTGCGCCTGGAGGCCAGTGGGATGACCAGGCCAGGTACCCCACCGTAGCAATATCCCCCAGGGCGCGAATCTGCCGGAACACTGCCTCTAAGACGGTTTCAAATGCGTATCTAACTCTCTAGCTCTTATGCAAAATGCAAAAAAATTAGCTCTCCACTGGATTCGAACGATTGACCTCTCCCCTCTAATTCCAACACGCTAACCGCACCATCAATCTATATGGCAGCTCTCTTGTACTTGAAAAGCGCCCAGCGGAATGAAAAGTCCACCCAGACGGATTACAGATTCGAAATCAGCACAAAAGTGTTGAGCCGATGTGCATCTCATGTCAAACGGCCACGGCCACTGAAAGTACTTCTCTTGTAAGTTTTTCCTTCCATAAAATCGCCGGGGTAGGCCTTGCGCAAAAACATATCACTTGAGCAGGAACTCGCCGCTCTGCTTTACTAACATTGTTTTTCCGCCTTCGTCCAGCAGTGAACTAACCAATACCCAGCTTGATACTTTGAAACCAAAATGAGATACCTGGACTGGAACGAACTTTTTTTTCTAATTTTGTTCATACACTCAAAGGTGTGTTTGAAGAAATCAAAATATCAACGAGTACTGCTAGAGTGATTCGATCGCGCACTTGCTGTAAGACTTAATTCAAAATTACTGCTATAACTAGGACTGCTGGGACAAGCACGAAGCAAGTGAATATAATAGTTCATCTTGTAACCCCAGTCTCTTACAGAACCCTTACAGGCAGCGTCCGGGCAAACTTTCGAAGTGGATTTTTCTCGCTCACCTGCTCAGGCAAAAATACCGACGAGCGGCCACAAGTACCGGCCGAGCGATTTTCACTTTTGCGGCTCGTCCGGTAGACGCGAGCGCACGGCCGGTCTTTGTGGTTACTGGCGCGGTACATGTGGTCACTGGCGCGGTCTTTGTGGATGCTCGCGCGGTCACTGCGGTCACTGGCGCGGTACTTGTGGTTACTGGCGTGGTCTTTGTGGTTACTGGCGCGTTCATTGTAATTGCTCGCGCGGTTACTGCGGTCACTGGCGCGGTACTTGTGGTTACTGACGCGGTACTTGTGGATGTTGGCGCGGTACTTGTGTATGCTCGCGCGGTAATTGTGGATGCTCACGCGGTCTTTGTGGTTACTGGCGAGTTCATTGTGGATGCTCGCGCGGTCTTTGTGGAAGTTGGCGCAGTACTATTGGATGCTCGCGTGGTACTTGTGGATGTTGGCGCGGTCTTTGTGGATGTTGGCGCGGTATTTGTGGATGCTCGCGCGGTCAATGCGGTCACTGGCGCGGTACTTGTGGTTACTGGCGCGGTCTTTGTGGATGTTGGCGCGGTACTTGTTCTGTTAACACAAGATTCTTCTTATCCATAAAGTACAATAGCACAAATTGAGCACAATTAGTAATTTTATTTAGAATCTTACATCGTAAAATAGATAACACTCAAAAACGTGTCACAATACATTGTGACAAAATGTCACAACACAACATAAACTCTGTGAAGTAAACTAAATCAATCAACAACTCAGCTCTTAAGCTGCTCAAAACAACCTAGAAACAATGGAATGCAAAAAACCTAAAAATGCTCACTATCTCAATCCTTACGACAACGACAGCGCATATTGAGAAAACGGCTATGGACCATTAGCAATCGTCATTCGGCCGTGCACGCTTTTTCTTTGTCTAAAAAATATGTGCATTATACTACATAAACTTTTGTTTAGAAAAAAGTTACATCAGCCTCCATTTATCGTTTTCGACGTCGTATTCGTATGCGCGAAAATCTCTTCTATGAGATGTAGCGTTAGGAAAAAGTTCCTTTACTCACAAGGCCATTTGCAGGGCTTTGAAGAGGTCCCGCCTATACAAAATCCTTTCATGTGCCATCCTTTCGAATGCTTCCGCCCTTTCCTCTCTTGTTTTTCCGAGACTTTCAAAAAAGCTGTAATAATTGAAGCTGTAACGTTTTGGAGAATTCACTCTAGCTCCACCTCGTACTGTCGACATTGACGGCTGCCATTCTGAGTACTGGATGCCCATAGCCGATTGTGTCTTCGCCTAAGTCTAAAATCAGGAGTCCTGAACTATTTCGATATCAAATACATACCTAAGAGTGCAGTTTCAACATTAGACGGCAAGTTTTTATGATTTGAACTTCGGTCTCCTTTTCCGTTGAGCTTTAGGGAATAATCTTGAATGGATTGTCGCGGCTCCGTTATCTGTAAAAATCATAATGGTAACAGAACCTCTGCAAGTTATAAGGCATTACCTGCACCAGGATGTATCTGTAAAAGCTCATGAACATCTTGAAGGTGGTATCGCCAGCTTTTGTTTGATAGTTGACGATCAACTTACTCAGGCTAGTCTGAAAGTTGTTTTGTTCTTCTGTACTGCTTTTTCTTCCTCACCTGCAAAAACGGCGGTGATCCCTCTAGCTTCCATTCTCGGGTGCAACTGTGAATCGAAATAGTGAGGCCTTCTTCTTCCACGGGTAATCCTTCTTGCTACTTTCCTCCAGTCTCTATCATTCGTGTTAGGCAATCAATTTTGGAAAACTGGATTGCCCACTGAACTCGCTCGTTTTCAATAGTTGTCCTGAATATGCAAGAGAAAATCACCATCAAGAAATTAGCGATGCTATGTAGACGCATTTCTTCCGTCGGGTCTCTCAAATTGAATAGTCCTTCATCAGAAAAACGATAAATTTTTAGTGCTTCCTCAGAACGGACAAACTCCTGCCAAGATACAGTGCTAGTACCCAGTATTCTGAATCAACAATGACTTACATCGTAAATTTGCTTTTTCTACGTTCTGTTGTTTTTCTGTCTGAGTATCAACCTCGCAGCCTCGTTCAGATCTAATGCACCGTTGCACACGCATTGGTACAAATTCACCTCCTCCGTAGCATTTTCCATTCTTAGCTCAGTTCGGCCAAAAGAGAGTTCTGCAAGTTGAATATAGGTGATTGTCAATGAAAGTAATCCGTAAACATCATTAATGTGTAATATCCTCCTCATAAAGTTCATCTTCACCATCGATCTTGACTAGATGTGTAATGTTGGTCTCTTTAAATCTAACCATGTTAGTGAAAGTTTTCTTTTGCCTGAAATCAGACACCAAACTCAGTGTAAGAACTTATGGCTGAGGTTTATGCACGGGAATAACGCGTTTGAAAGGAGCGTCTTTTACAGGCTTTGACTGGCTTTGTACACGCAAAGGCGTTCTTTTCATAACTGTGTACTCGAAAAGAATGTAAGTATTGAAGACCTGCAATCCTATAAGTACTTGTAAGCGAATTTTCATATAGGTACATGGTATGCAAACATATGATTGAATAAATACAATTTTCGAAGGTGATTATTCTTTATTGTAACAATTTCTGAAGTGATAATCAAAGCTTGGATGCATACTGAGAGGAAGAATCAAAATTGGATGATGTACATGCACAAAGTACAAAATTCGCTGGACGGATTTTAATACTTCGAGAAGTTGCCTTAAGAAAAATCATTATTTTCTTTTATCAATAGCATCAAAGCAAGCCCGATTTCGCGAAGAGGATTTACGGCTAAGGAGAGGTTGTATTCAAGATTTTCGAACGGATTCTTGAAGTTATATTATTCTAGAACCGCGAGAACTCTACGACTTTTCCTATCGTACAAAAAGGGATTATCCATACAAAAGTTTTGATTTTGATACCGCCATCGTTTCCTTTCATAAAAATCATATGCTGTTTACTGTGCGACCTTTCCAGTAGATTCGAGAGGTGTAAATTTTCTTGTTGATGACAACCCTCGGACTATGGGGGAGTTGCTTTTAATTATTTTGAGACAGAAAATGACATACTATGCGTCTTCATCGCTTGATATCAAAATACTGTGTTTTTCTTGCAACAATCCCAATTCCACTCTGCTAGCTTTTGGGATATACATAAATTTATTTGAGCAGACTCCAAACGGAATGAGCGAAAAATCTAAAACTATTTTGTTGGCCCAAATTCACTACCTTTTCTTGTCCTGTTAGCAACTTTTTTTGAGTGCTAGCATTTGCGAGACCTCGAAGGTCATTGTTGCAATAACAAACGCATTTTCTTACATAGAAA